AATAGATAAAACAAAGTTAGATTTATATAAATAGATTAATAATATTGATTAGTAATTTAGATTTGCAGGTCTGGGGCGTCCTAGAGGACCAGAATTCTCCAAAAAATTAGAAAAATTTTTTTGCAAAAATAAAATATAATTTCCAAGAGAGTTTTGAAATATTTTAACTGTATAATTGTCAGTTTTAAACTATTTATAGTGTATAATATATCAAAATGACGACAAGAATAAGCTGAACAAGTTTGTTCTATGTAATAACTATGAATTACTTAATAAACTTTGAGTTTTTGCAGAAAGAAGAAAATTATAAAGTTTAGTTATATCCCAGTAATAAAAGCCTTTGAGGATATAAAACTAGGCTGCCTATATGTAAAATTCTGTTAGGAACAATTTTACTTAGGTAGCCAAAGTAGGTTACTTAATAAAAAATTGAGAAAAGAGTAATTATGTTTAGAGAAAATTTGGTACAAGTGATCGTTAGGAAGAGTTAATAATTTGTCTTTTTCGCAAAAATAACTATTGTATTGCTTATATAATAAAAGTTAAATATATTAATATTCTTATCTAAATTAATTAGCTCTTGAAATAATTGCACATAACTTTTTTCAAACTTACTTGTCATTAAAATATATACAAGTAGAAAAATGCATAAATTACTTTCTTCTTCAACTGGAGCATGTATAGTATACAACTATTGAAATAGTGTTGGTACCATCTAAAAAGTTCCATTCATAAGCCAATATTTAGTTTTTTTTTAAATATTAAAAGTTGTTTATTGTACAAAAAATTATTATTTTTTTATTATCAAACTAAATTTCTTTGATAAGAAATCATTCTTCCCAAACAGTTGTACATAACAAGGCCAAAACATTAATATCTTCTAATGATTGGGAATGAGTAAGTAATTCTTTATTTCTAATACATGAAATCTGTTTGCAAATAGCTTCATTATTTGGCATATAGCAGAGGATGCTTCAGACATATTAATGATGGCATCTTGGATAATTTGAGATAGTTTGTTATGTATATATGAGACCGTTTCTTTAATATCATTAAGGGCTTGTATTATATCTGCATGGCTAGCCTTAGAAAGATGATTATGCTCATTAAATTTTTTTAAAACATGCTCTTGCCCTTTCAAAACAGTTATAGCACATCCTTTGCAACATTTCAAAGACCTATATTCACAACACCAATAATAATTTTTATTAATATTTCTTTCTTTCACAAGGATATATTCATGAATGATAATTTTTTCATTGCCATGTATAGACTGAACTATTTTACAAATTTCATAATCTATTAAATAAATTATGATTTAATAATTTTATAAGATATTTAAAGAGAGTTTTATTGAAGTTTAAAATATTGATAATTTTTTGAAAATAAAGAATTAAAAAATTTTATTAAGTTATTAATTACTCAATTTAATGATTTTTTAACTTTAAGATTGCCTTCTTATATATTTTTAATACAGTCTTCAAAAAAAACTTCTTTTTTTCTATTAACTAATCTTGTGCTTTATTTTTGAGCTATGCTATAAGAGTATTTTCTTATTTATCTTTAAATAGTTGAATCATTTTAATTTTGTAAATTAACTATAAACTTTCATATGCTCTTTTTAGATTTATTATATCATATGTTTCTTTTTTCTTTATAATAATTCAATTATTTTACTAAGAGTCTATTTTACTGATATTATGCAACATATTAATTTATATATCATTTGTTTTATGATTATTTATAAATTATTATATTGTGTTATATTACTAAACAGACTATTAGTAAATGATTGTATGTGAAGTTATTAAAAATTTATCTCAGTCTATTTCAGAACTTTGCTCTTTTAGATTTATTGTGCTTTGTAATTTTTTTAATCATTTTACTGAAGATTATTTTATAGACATCACCTAATGTGCTAATTTAATATATAATTAGTTGCATTCTTATCTTATTTATAAATTGTTACACTGTGATATTAATACATAACTAACTATTAGCAATATCTTTAATTACTTTTGCTAATTTTAGTCAGTGTCTTTAAACTTAATATTGTTTAAATTACATATGTATGTATATATGTATATACATATATATATACAAGTTTTATTATATAATAGTAATCTTCAAAATTCCAAAATAAATTCTAATTAGCTGAGTTAATATGTATTAATATCTATTAGATCATAAATTAGATAATTATTCTGGTATCACAGACAAAACCCAAAAAACTATTGTAATGCAATAATAATAATCTGAAATCTATAATTATTAAATAATGATCCTTTGCAACAAATCTGTTGAAACCAGACTCTCTGTTTGAAGCACTAACATTAATTTTGTAAAAACCCAAGCTCTATTAAACAATTACACCATATATTTTATTGAAAAAAAATACTTACCTGATTCAGTTTAATAGCTGTTAAGGTAATATTATATTGTTGGATTAAGTATATAACTATGAAAGAAGAAATCAATAAATGAGTCAATAAATAAGTTAACAAATAAAGAATGCTATTACAATAATAATGATATAGAAGCCTTTATTAACTTGTTTTCTTTTTCCTTTCACAGAATATTTCAATGATAATAGCTATGTATAAAGAGTTGAATATCTAGAATCTTCAAAATTCTTTACTACTGTTATTACAAAAATTATGGATTATATCTTTTTGCAAATCATTATAGTCTAGAAAATCTTTGAAATAACCATATAAAGTAACAACTTTAGTTGCAATAATAACATACATATGCATTATTTTAAAATTTTTATTTTTTTAAAAATTTGCATATTTGATACAAAATAATGCATATGTATTTAAAATGAGTGCTGCAAAGAAAAAACTTGCAATAATAAGTTTTTTAAAATTAATTTTATAGAAATGACTTATCAGATACATGATTTATTAAATAGAATTTATTATAGAATATATTATAATTCATTAGGAATCTAATCACTGTTTTTGAAAAGCAGAGCTTGCAAACACTAAAATTGCAGATATTTACTTTGCAGTACTCTATTATACAAAGAAACATAATATAGTAATAATTTATCTTTTGCTAGTATAATATTCTAATAATATATATAAAGTTTATCATAATAGAATATATTTTAATCAAAAACAAAAAAAACTCTTTCTGCTAATCCCTTTTTTCAAAACATGGCTAAAGTAAATATACTAAGAAAACACAAAACTGGTTTAACAAATTTTATTTAGACCTCTAAGAAAAAAGACTTAGTACACAAAATACAAACACTTTGTCTTAGCAATAACATAAGCAAAGTCTTGAAAAACAAAACTTCTTCTGGCTTTAAAAATTTTTTGAACAAATTTTTTAGAAAATCCAAAAAGTATGCTAGATCTGAAAAACAATAACAGAACACATGACCAGGTATCAATATAAACAACAACAAACAACAGCACATTATATTAAATAACAAACAACCATATTAGGAAATATAGGTAAATATAAGCATAGGCACTAAGTAGATGGACGAACAACAAAAAGTCTAGAAATGGAAGTACAAACAAAAATAGGATTGACATTGAACACAGATTTAATTCAACATATCAGGAGGTTCAGAGATAGAAACCATAGATATATAGATAGCAAGATACTAGATAAGATCTTATCAAAATGTATTAAAAATTCAGATAACTTAGAATATATAGCAAAAGATTTAGCAGTTTATGATTTGAAAAATATCATAGTAAAAGATTTACTTCTTTATAGCCAAATTCTTGAAATGCTTAGAATAGCTGAAGTATGCACAATGCTACATAATATCATCAAAGAATAGACAACAAAACTATTAACAATAGATATGAACCCAAACTCTTTTAATCCTCAAATAAATTTTAATAAGAAAGAAATAATTAAAAAAAAAACAAAAATAAAGAAAACCAGAAAAGTTAAAAAAATGAAAAAGAAAGAAATAGTTATGTCAGAAAAAGAAAAAAGAAATCAAGAATAAACAAATAAAAAAGAAAAGATAAACCAAGACCTAAAGAGAGTTATAGAACAAATAAAAGAACTGAGTATCTTAATTATACAACAACCAAGTTTTAGTAATTCTCAAAATACAGTTCCAGAAATGCTATTAGCTAGTACAACAAAAGAAAAAACCAATATTAAAAAAAACAAACTGAAGAAGACCAAGACATCAATAAATAACAGAATATACAACTTAAAAAAAAACATTAAAGATATAGATAAGAAAATGATAAAGCTAAAAGCAAAAAAAAAAAATCAAAAAATACCAACACTCACAGACACAATCAAGAATAGTCAATAATTACTAAAAAACCATATATATAACAAAAATAAATCTTTTAAAGTAAATATTCCAACATATATAGTACTAGGAGAAAACAAAAAAGAAAGATTAAAATATATCCAATGAATTTTTTAAGGAAACCATCATATTAAATCAATCCAAGAAGTTTTCAAGAAAAGTAATAGTTGGACAGAAGTTAACTTCAACTGTAAGTTTAGTAAAAATGCAGCAATAGAAAGAATTAAAGAAAAAGAAGGTGAATGGCTCAAAATCATTTCAAAAGAACCAAAAAGACTAGAAAGGAAACAGCATTAGCAAGTATATAAAAACAAAGAATGAGAAGAAAAAAAGTCGAAAAATTATATTAGACAAAAAGAAGTGGACTATGAAAAAGTAGACCACTTAACAGAAGAGGGTTTGAAAGCAGAGTTATATATAATAATATAGGATCTTTCAGCAAATAATAATATAGGATCTTTCAGCAAATAATAATACAGAAGAAGTAAGACATATGTGCAAAAACATCAAAGAAGCTCAGATAGAATATATTAAAAGATCTAAATACAAAGTATTAGCAGTAGTTAAAACAAAAGAATTAGAGAAAGAAAAAATTCTATGATTATTACCAATAGGAGTATATAAACTAATAAGAGTAACATTAAGTGAAGAAGATTATAATCAATATAATATACAAAGTCAATTTACAACAAGGTTAACAGAGCTCCCAAGTAATGCATCAGAAGTATTACTATTACAATGCCTAAAGAAAAAAGGAGCAAGCTTAGTATATATACCATCTAACAGAAACAGAAATCAAAGAAGATCAGTGACAATTACTTTTGCACCAATAGAGGAAATAGAAGCAGCACAGACAAAGCTGATAAGATTTAGCAACTATCTACTTTTTTGGCAAAAGTATAAGGAAGGAAACACAAACACAAAACATATCAATAGTGATAATATTAGTGAAATTTTTTATAAGATAAAAGAGAGATGTTTGAAGAAAGAAGAGAAATAAAGTCACCTTGTTAAGAAAATAAAGAGTTAAACAGAAGAAAGAGAAAAATAAAAAGTATAAAGACAAAACGATGACTTTTAAAAAAAAAATGAAAAGAGGAAAAAAAAAAATGAAGGTGGCATGTCATTATATTAATGAACTCAAAACCAAAGATCGGAAACTGGAAAATCTGCTTAACTGGGCAGAAGAATAAGAAATCTTAATAATAGAAATTATGGAGATGAATCTTAGAAAAAGAGAAGAAAAATTCCTAACATGTGTAGCAAAAAAAGATATATAGGTTTTTGGACAAGTGCAGCAAAAGATAAGAAGAAAGGATCAGGTGTCAGAATTATGATCGATGAACAATGAGAGAAGCATGTAGGTGCTGTCAAAAAAATAAGTAAATATATGATAGAAATTACACTATACTTTAAACAACTGGAATTAGTAGTGATTGCAGTTTATATACCACCAAATGACAAAGTAGTAGAAAAAAACATTTAGCAAAAAATTGTAGAAACAGTTTTAAAAAAGAAAAGACAAACATAATTTATTGTAATAGGAGTTTTAAATCATATAGTAAACAATATTCTAGACAGACAACATTCACAAACAACAAACTACAAAAGACTACCAATCTTCAATTGGATGAAGAATCAAAACTTTAGAGACATGTATAGAGACTTGAATCCAATAGGTCAGCAGTACATATGGTCAAACAGAGAAGCAGCAACAAGAATTAACTATATATAAATATCAGATTGTTTAGCTTTAAGCCTACAAAAAGCAAATGTTGAAGAGGCAGAAGAAATTACAGAAAGTGATCACAAGATAGTAACAGTAGAAATATAGATCAAACACATGGTAGTAGTTAAAAGCAAAGCAAAGATTAAAAGAAAAAAACAGTCAAAAACAATATATCTATATGATCAAGCAAAATTAGAAGATTGGGAAAATTATGCACAAGAGTTGCAGAATTAGTTAGAAATAAAAGAAGTTCTAAAAGACATTTACAAGAAA